TCCAAAAATTTAGCACTGTACGATATTTAAGAAGGAAATTGTTAATATGTTGCCCGGAGAAGATGATATTTACTATGGCACAGGAGAAAGTATGATAAGGGGAATCGCACTTCATGACTTGATACTAAAAGTTGGAGCAGTTGTGATGTTAATCCGCAACCTAAATATGTACATATCAAGGGTTAGTTACATAAATATGTACGTACGAAGGGTTAGTTAATGGACTTTAAACATTTGATTCACAAGGGAAACGAATTTTACTATCCCATATAACCCCCCTGTTTGGTCATACATACCTAGATATATGTCACCGTTTTTCTATGATTTAAAATAACATATGTACCTACATTTGGTCGTACGGTTCCGCAGTTAGGTTTGCCTTTCTTATTGAACATAGATATTTACATAGGTATATACATACGCTTACATATTTTCGTGCCCATAAGCATACATATTTTCTTACACATGCCCTCATAGGCATATATGCACAAACTTACATAGCTAGTTAGAAGAATAATGTAAAGCAATATACAAAAGGAAGGTATGTAGGAAAACCGGTGTTAGTTAAGTATCGGAAGTATGTTTTTTAGTGAGTCGAAGCTTAAGCAACTGAATAAACGTTCACTAGTATTGTAAAATCATCACCGCATCGACTTTTTCTTTGGCTGGAACATTTTGGCGACCGTGACTGGACTTTTCAATTACATTTTTTAAATTAAAGAAAGCCAAAAGAAGAAAGTCTGGTTTTTCGTTGCTCTGCCTTTGTCGAGACATATAAAATTTACGGACATCTTCTCATCAACTAAAACTGTGTGAGCGATCCGACAGCTAAATCATCTGCAGACGTGGATAGCAATTCTTGCCACACATCATCGTCGTTGCCGCTGTAATCAAATTACATACCTATTACACGTGGCTGTTCAAACTGTCGTAGGAGATTCGCCTCTTCTCATCGTCCCCTGTCGAAGTTGCATACATTTCGTCAACTCGTCGCAGTCTCAGGTCACATACACTGGACTATTTGCAACAAAAATTCGTTGCATTCCTCATCTGCTTTTGCTACACTCACAACATCATCATCATAGTCTTCATTGCTCAGGTATCCGTATTTTTTTGTGCTTCCAAATACTTCATAACAGTGAAGATAACGTCCTGAGATGTCTGATGAGGAGCAAGCGCTTTTATCCTCGCTACTAAAACACCGTTCATATATTCTTCGGAACCTACTTAGCATGAAGCAACGAATTGGTTGTGAAGAAGTTGACACTGGCACGCATGTTCTCGAATGTCGGTTGCAGATTGTTGTTTCCTATTTTCAACACATTTCCGACGTCCTGAACAACATCGAAGCTCTTGCTCCGACAGACAGATCGAGAGTAGAAATTGAAGAAACGTACATTTCAACAAAATCCAAAACTCTTTGGTTGATCAACTCCAGAAACCGCATTTCTGAGTTGAACACCAGCATGTTTAATGCCACGGAACTTGGAAATATGAGTCATCACAATCGATTGCAGTCACTCAAATTGCCCAAATTTTACGGAAAGTATGCGGAACATAAAAGCTATTTCCGCACCTTTTGCAACATGGTGCACGATGATCTAACAATGCCAAAAGTTGACAAATTTAATTATCTTCTGAAATGTCTTTGAGGACCAGCTCTAAGCGTAATCTAACCGTTCCAGGTACCGAGGAAAATTATCCGAAGGCTGTACAACGGCTCAAGGAACGGTACGACGACAATGAACTGATATTTCCAGATTACATCACCTCGATTTTCAACATTCCGATGATGAAAAAGTCTGATGCAGCGAGTCTACGCAATATCATCGACACCGTTGCTGCGCTGCGAGGTTCTTTGCTCTCGTTGGGCTCAGAAAGCGACATAATGAATTCAATGCTAATTCACATTGTCTTAACGAAAATCTATTCGGATTCAAAAGCAGCATACAACCAAAAGCAAGAATTTGATAAGTTACCAGCGTGAGAAGATTGTTATAAATGGTTGAATCGGCACAGCCAGTACTTAGAAACGTTTGCAAAAGGAGAAAACCCGAAGGTAACACAGCGCGATGGTAAACTATCGGGTAAGAAGACTGCAAATTCCTTCGTCAACGCAACACCAAATTGTATACATTGCAATAGTGCAGATCTTAACCTCAAAAATTATTCTTCATTTCTAGCGCTACCAGTTAAAATGCGTGTTGATTGAGTGAAGCAAGCAGGTGTTTGCATAAATTGTTTGCGTAAAGGACATACAGTATCCAAATGCCCATCGAAATCTCGTTGCCGGGTTTGCCACCAATCACACCACTCCCATCTTCATTTTGCCTCCGTTGCAACTACAACTTCACCTGCTGCGCAAACAGTAGAACCAAAAGGGAAGGAGCCAACACCTTCGACGTCTAGCTCATCGTTCCCACGACAGTCGGGTCTACGTAACCGGAACGACCCAGATTTATATCTGGCCAAGGACTGTCACTCCAGCTACACTCCCCAAAAACTCTTTGGGGAATTTGTATGCTGTTACAACACCAACACGTCTAGCTCATCGAGTCCAATTAATCCATCGGTTTCACTCATCGCGTGCACACACAAAAGAGCGCCAATACCAACAGCGTTAATTTAAATACAAGACAAATTTGGAGTGATGCAGCCAGCCCGCGCTTTATTGGATTCTTGTTCCGAGGTAAATTTCATCACTGAGGAAACAGCGAAGCGGTTGCAGCTTAAACGGGTTTTCTCACAACAGGAAATTTCAGGTATTTCAGATATTCGTTCTAACTCAAAATATGCAGTAAACGCGACAATAAAATCTCGTATTGGGAATTTCACTTGTATTTCGCAATTCGCCATAACTAAACGAATTTCAACTCATATACCTTGTGATTTTATTGATACATTTAAATGGAACATTCCTGAAGAAATCCAACTTGCGCATCCATACTTCTACAAACCGCAAAGTATAGAAATATTGCTAAATGCAGAAATATTTTTCGATAGCCTTCAAGATGGCAAAGTTTCGCTTGGTCAAGGTTTACCATGCCTTCATAACAGCAAACTAGGTTGGATCGTGGGTGGCAATTTTGGAACGCCTTCAAATTCACGCCCATCAATTTGTAATGTCACATTAAGTTCAAATCTATCTAATATCGACTCGGTTCTTCAGCGCTTTTGGGAAATCGAAGATCTCACTGAAAAGTCATCTACATTGCCCGAAGAAGAACGTTTATGCGAATGGTGGTAATGGACACTGGATCACGAGAGGAAGAGGGGCTACGCACTAAATATTGCTGATAGGAAAGAAGACAGGAAAGAAGGAACTAGCTGAGAACCCCTACCATGGCTGACCAGTTGGTTGTGTCGATGTTGCGAGATGGGGGAGCAACATCAGAAACGCCCACCCTACCATGATCACTCTTGACCTATTGCCAGTTTTCCAGGTGATCCCTTCAACCAAACTAACGTCAGCGGCTGACGTCCCTACTCCCAGTCGATCGATGCATGGCCCCGTTCTTAAGAACTTAACGCATGTTTAGTTTTCAACCAACTTTAATTAAACTAAACTCAAAATACAATAAGTATGAAAGGTAAAATTAATGATTATGTACATACGTGTGATAAATGAGTATGAATATAAGTGCATGCTTATGTATGTATGTAAATTTACGGGTATATAAACTAACTTCGTAAATCTTAGGCTCACGTTAGTTACAAAAAAATATTCAATTATTGCACGTATTTACGGGCCGGTTTGTCTGCTTTTAACGTGTTTCTTCTTTTACATCGACTCAACTTCTTCCTATAAACGCTACCACGAATAATTATATTGTTTGTAAGAGTGTAGATATTTTTTAATAATAAAGCCTCGACATAAATTGCAAATATAAAATTTTAAAATTATTAAAATAAAAATTCAAAAAAGTTCGATTTTCACTATTGTCCGGACGGTGAAATTTAGTTTCCGGACGCTTTTATTTTAGTATCCGGACGCGTAATTTTTGTATGAAGTTTCAGTCGTTTCCATCTTGAATAAATAAACATTCTTGTTAGTTGTTTGTAAAGTATTTAATAATTCATTGTTTTACTTTAAATTTAAAAAGGTATTTAAAATACAAGCACAATTCAATGCAGGGGACATAGTTTGGTGGGCGGTGTACACCAATTTTTAAACAACTCTTATAGGTCTAATTAATAAAATGTAATGCTAATGCTTAAACATTTCCAAAAAAAAAATCTAAATTTCACTGATTTACTTATGTATGTATATAATAAATAAAACATAATTCATTAGTTATGCATAGGTACATAAGAAGTCAAACACTTATTGATAAACTAAGTTAATTAAATTAATTAGGTATGTTATATTAGGGGACGTTTGGGTATTCAGGTAGGTTTTAAGATAGGTATAAAAGTTTGGAAAAAAATATCTTTTTATAAAAACAAAATAAAAATTTTTCAATTTAACAAACTTAATATTAGCTTGTCGCGCGAATAGCAAACCGACATTAAAATATCTGCATACATACATATACATACATACCTAACCAATTATGCATGTACGCTGAATTCGCCGACAAGCTTTTTTAAAAACGAAGTAAATTAGTACAAATTGTTAGTAATTTTCATTAGAGTTTGAATAACTCCTTTCACTAAATGGCTTTTAGTAACTTTAACGAGACCTTAACTTATTTTATTTTATTCATTTTAGTGCAAAATTTTCTTGCTAAAAAATCTTTTGTTACACTACTTTATTTTATTCCTTTGATTGTACATGTTAAATAAAAGCTTGTTTTTAAAAAATATTTTTTTTACATTATTTTATTTAAATTGTCGTCTTCTACGTCACTCTGGAGTTCATCAAAACAATTTTGGCACTTTTCCTTCTTTTTAAAGTTTTTCTTTTGTTGTGGTGTACGTTTTCGGGTTTCTGGTTTTGAAAATCTATCTCTTTTCTTTTTTGCTATGGTATCAAGTTTGTTTTGTTTTTCTTTTTTTTTCTAGCATGGATCTCTCGCCAAGCATCTGAGAAAATTGCACTCGGCGCTCTGCACGGGCTGTTAGCGTGGTTTGTTTTCTTTTTGTTGTTAAAAAAAACCATTTTTGGGTAAAACAAATGTGTTGCTATTACCGATGGTGAGCTTGGCGTGCTTTGGGATCGAGATTGGCTGGCTTCCGATGGTCCTGGGGAAGGATTTTGAAGGTCATCTGATTTTGTGGTAGGGAATGCGAGTTCGATGATTTCCTTATCAATGGCAGCGATTTCTTGTAGTTCTAATGAAATTTGATCTTGCCCGACGTTTGTCGATGAATTCAGCTCCATCGCGGATTCAATTCTGTTGGTCTGATTAGTTCCAGATGCTTCTTCGGTTTCTTTGTATAAGGTACCATCCCTGTTTAGAACGTAAACTACAGTGCTTAAGTCGCGTAATCCCCCTGTGATCCCTTCAAGAGCAGGGTCCACTGTTATGTCCAGTATTGGTGTTTTTGACGCTTCAGTTTGAATAACCTTTAAAACGATTTCAGGATCAATACCACAATCTTGCAGTTGCCCTGACAATGATTTAATCACTTGAGCAGCTATCTCAAATTTTGAAGGTTCAGCGGTTTGTTCTGGTTCGGATGAGAGTGGAGCTTGAGCAATGAGCAAGTTCTCAGCGTTGTTCTTGACGCTTTTGGAATAGTCGACTGCTGCAGGGTTCAATGGATACAAACCACATTTTCGGAATCCATTTCGTATAGTTGCCACCACATCCTTGTTCTTAACAATCGCATCGTTTAAAAGGGGACAGAAGTTTTTTTTAGTAAGTGGCTGTCCCAAATTAGTTGACTGCCATTCACGTACCGTTGTTTTCCAATCCGATTTTAAAGGCTTAAACACACTGACGTCCGCCGGCTGCATGATGTGCGTGGTGTTCGGTGGCAACGCATATAAAATTATTTGGTTTCGGTTACAAAACTCGCTTAGTTCCAGGGTTAAGTGTGATTTGTGGCCATCGACAAATAAAATAACTGGCCGTTCAACTCCATCAGCAAGCAATCGATTGTGCACACAATTGGCGACGTACTCAAAAAATGTTTCGCTTTTCATCCAACCACTCTCACTCCGTCCCAAAAACCAGGATTTTGGCATACTGTCGACGATTTCTTTTGGTGGACGCAGGTATGGAAAAACAACCATCGGTTCGAACAGTTTTCCATCGGCTGAAAAAACTATAAGCACCGTTAAAGTCTCCTTTTCATTTCCGGCTGCAATTTGGTAAATATTTTTATAGCCCTTTGGAGCTATAACTTTCCCAGTTTTCGGGCAGAGGCAAAAGCTAGTTTCGTCACCATTTAAGATCCTTGAAGGATCATTCATTATGTTTTCCTGTCCAATAGTTTTTAAGTGTTCTTCAAGTTCTTTAAACCATTTCAAAATTGTCTCCTGCGTCACTACTGCCCTACCCTTACTTATTGTTTCCACTTCCCTCATTGCTAAAGATGGATTCCGCTTAATGAAAGCTTGCATCCATGTTCTCCCTGGCCGATTATTTTTAAATGGCGTTTTTCTGTTCGTGTCATTTATAATTTTTTGAACAGTATTCAATAAATCATCAATTTTTAGCGGAAAACCGCATTTACATAAATCGATACACCATTGAGCAATCTGTTGTTCCTCTTCAGTTGTTATATAAGGAGCTGGCCCCATCTTTGTCGCATTTTCACCGATTAATCTTTTGCCTCTCAATCGGTCATGCAAAGTTGACCGGCATAAACCATATTTATTTGCCGATTGCCTGATGCTGATATGGTTTGACCTTATATCCTCTAAGGCCTGAGCTATTTTGTCTGAATTCATTCCTTAAAAATAATAACAAAGAAAGAACGTAATATGGATAAAAATCACAAATTTCATACAAAATACAGTTGTCCGGACATTAAACCTTTTTTTTTTTAGTATCCGGACAGTCATATTCGTACTTAGTTAACCCTGTCCGAATACTGAAAACATGTGAGAAAAACGCATTTCTCTTTCTGTATATCTTAGAAGATATGCCAAACTATCATTTAAGAACATTAGAAAGAGAATTCGTAATTTCTCTCATACTTTCAGTAGCCGGACAGCCTGTCTGGAAACTGAAAATTATCTTCAATTTTGGTTTCAGTATCCGGACACTAAAAATTTAGGCAAAGAATTGAATTAATTTAATTTTTTTCTTATATAACTTAATTTCAATATATTTTAAATAAATGTAATTACTTTCCATTATAGTAAGTTTATAAATACTTGTTCAAATACTTACTTCTTTAAAATGCTCCCACTATTTTTTTTTTTACACAAAACGACAACACAACCGCACTCTCTGTGAACTGACGCGTAACTCTTAAAATATGCGTGTTATTTATTTGAAACTTTGCATGGAGATGTAAGACACATATAGGATTGCATTTTTGTAATTATTTGAGACTATTCATGAGTGATGTATCTATTAATTAAAAAAAAAGGACAGAGTATCCGGACACTAACACTGTCCGGATACTACTGCGTTTACCCTACATACAAACATATTTGCGCGGAAAGATTTTTAGAGTTTTACACAGAGCAGTTTCAAAATGTTAAACTGAATCTCACACGCGCATCTCATTTTCAATTTCCAGCAACAATTTAAAACAATTTCATATCTTTATTTTCGCTTTTTTATAAAATTTTAAGAAGCGGTAAGTGCCGCAAGAAATTATTTTGCGGTATTTCAACCTCAGCCTGGTGTAACTAATCAAAATCACTTAAAGGATCGATCAATTTCGTGTCCAAAAATTTAGCACTGTACGATATTTAAGAAGGAAACTGTTAATATGTTGCCCGGAGAAGATGATATTTACTATGGCACAGGAGAAAGTATGATAAGGGGAATAGCACTTCATGACTTGATACTAAAAGTTGGAGCAGTTGTGATGTTAATCCGCAACCTAAATATGTACATATCAAGGGTTAGTTACATAAATATGTACGTACGAAGGGTTAGTTAATGGACTTTAAACATTTGATTCACAAGGGAAACGAATTTTACTATCCCATATAACCCCCCTGTTTGGTCATACATACCTAGATATATGTCACCGTTTTTCTATGATTTAAAATAACATATGTACCTACATTTGGTCGTACGGTTCCGCAGTTAGGTTTGCCTTTCTTATTGAACATAGATATTTACATAGGTATATACATACGCTTACATATTTTCGTGCCCATAAGCATACATATTTTCTTACACATGCCCTCATAGGCATATATGCACAAACTTACATAGCTAGTTAGAAGAATAATGTAAAGCAATATACAAAAGGAAGGTATGTAGGAAAACCGGTGTTAGTTAAGTATCGGAAGTATGTTTTTTAGTGAGTCGAAGCTTAAGCAACTGAATAAACGTTCACTAGTATTGTAAAATCATCACCGCATCGACTTTTTCTTTGGCTGGAACATTTTGGCGACCGTGACTGGACTTTTCAATTACATTTTTTAAATTAAAGAAAGCCAAAAGAAGAAAGTCTGGTTTTTCGTTGCTCTGCCTTTGTCGAGACATATAAAATTTACGGACATCTTCTCATCAACTAAAACTGTGTGAGCGATCCGACAGCTAAATCATCTGCAGACGTGGATAGCAATTCTTGCCACACATCATCGTAGTTGCCGCTGTAATTAAATTACGAAGGCTGTACAACGGCTCAAGGAACGGTACGACGACAATGAACTGATATTTCCAGATTACATCACCTCGATTTTCAACATTCCGATGATGAAAAAGTCTGATGCAGCGAGTCTACGCAATATTGTCGACACCGTTGCTGCGCTGCGAGGTTCTTTGCTCTCGTTGGGCTCAGAAAGCGACATAATTCACATTGTCTTAACGAAAATCTATTCGGATTCAAAAGCAGCATACAACCAAAAGCAAGAATTTGATAAGTTACCAGCGTGAGAGGATTGTTATAAATGGTTGAATCGGCACAGCCAGTACTTAGATTCGTTTGCAAAAGGAGAAAACCCGAAGGTAACACAGCGCGATGGTAAACTATCGGGTAAGAAGACTGCAAATTCCTTCGTCAACGCAACACCAAATTGTATACATTGCAATAGTGCAGATCTTAACCTCAAAAATTATTCTTCATTTCTAGCGCTACCAGTTAAAATGCGTGTTGATTGGGTGAAGCAAGCAGGTGTTTGCATAAATTGTTTGCGTAAAGGACATACAGTATCCAAATGCCCATCGAAATCTCATTGCCGGGTTTGCCACCAATCACACCACTCCCATCTTCATTTTGCCTCCGTTGCAACTACAACTTCACCTGCTGCGCAAACAGTAGAACCAAAAGGGAAGGAGCCAACACCTTCGACGTCTAGCTCATCGTTCCCACGACAGTCGGGTCTACGTAACCGGAACGACCCAGATTTATATCTGGCCAAGGACTGTCACTCCAGCTACACTCCCCAAAAACTCTTTGGGGAATTTGTATGCTGTTACAACACCAACACGTCTAGCTCATCGAGTCCAATTAATCCATCGGTTTCACTCATCGCGTGCACACACAAAAGAGCGCCAATACCAACAGCGTTAATTTAAATACAAGACAAATTTGGAGTGATGCAGCCAGCCCGCGCTTTATTGGATTCTTGTTCCGAGGTAAATTTCATCACTGAGGAAACAGCGAAGCGGTTGCAGCTTAAACGGGTTTTCTCACAACAGAAAATTTCAGGTATTTCAGATATTCGTTCTAACTCAAAATATGCAGTAAACGCGACAATAAAATCTCGTATTGGGAATTTCACTTGTATTTCGCAATTCGCCATAACTAAACGAATTTCAACTCATATACCTTGTGATTTTATTGATACATTTAAATGGAACATTCCTGAAGAAATCCAACTTGCGCATCCATACTTCTACAAACCGCAACGTATAGATACATTGCTAAATGCAGAAATATTTTTCGATAGCCTTCAAGATGGCAAAGTTTCGCTTGGTCAAGGTTTACCATGCCTTCATAACAGCAAACTAGGTTGGATCGTGGGTGTAATGTCACATTAAGTTCAAATCTATCTAATAACGACTCGGTTCTTCAGCGCTTTTGGGAAATGGAAGATTTCACCGAAAAGTCATCTACATTGCCCGAAGAAGAACGTTTATGCGAACAGCATTTCGTTGAAAATGTTCAAGTGAAAGGCGATGGACGTGTTCAAGTTCGGTTGCCATTTAAGGTTTCGCCTACAATATTAGGCAATTCTTTTTACAATGCTAAGAAGAGATTTCTCGCTCTTGAACGGCGTCTAACCCATAACAAATTACTAAGGGACTGTAGCATTTAACGTTGTAATCTTTATCGAGCGGATGAAGGGTGCACTCAGCAGAGCACGCGCTTGTACCGGCTCAGCATCGGTGGCTTGGGTGGGGTTTATCTTGACTGCTGGGTGTATGCTCGCAGTGCGCTACCAAAATAAAACAATAAAAAGATCGCGTGCTGGTTTAACTGAGGGGGGGAATGGTGGTAATGGACACTGGATCCCGAGAGGAAGAGGGGCTACGCACTAAAGATTGCTGATAGGAAAGAAGACAGGAAAGAAGGAACTAGCTGAGAACCCCTACCATGGCTGACCAGTTGGTTGTGTCGATGTTGCGAGATGGGGGAGCAACATCAGAAACGCCCACCCTACCATGATCACTCTTGACCTAGGGCCAGTTTTCCAGGTGATCCCTTCAACCAAACTAACGTCAGCGGCTGACGTCCCTACTCCCAGTCGATCGATGCATGGCCCCGTTCTTAAGAACTTAACGCATGTTTAGTTTTCAACCAACTTTAACTTAAACTAAACTCAAAATACAATAAGTATGAAAGGTAAAATTAATGATTATGTACATACGTGTGATAAATGAGTATGAATATAAGTGCATGCTTATGTATGTATGTAAATTTACGGGTATATAAACTAACTTCGTAAATCTTAGGCTCACGTTAGTTACAAAAAAATATTCAATTATTGCATATAATTGCATATGGGTGTTTCCAGCGGAAGGTCCACCACGACAAAAAAAAATAAAAGTTTCATATCTAACGTATTTACGGGCCGATTTGTCTGCTTTTTAAAATATATACTGGCTATGTAAGTAGAATCATGTTTGCATAAAATGGTCTTCCTGGGTGGTGCCAAGGTCGAGATATTTCGAAAAACCGTATTTATGGTCCGATTTGGTTCGAATTTGGCGTATGTGGTTTAAACATAATAAATCATAGATTTCCAATAAATTGACCATGAATTGGCGCTGAAGTCAAAATATAAAGTATATTCTACATAAAATACATGTTTTATTTGCGTTAAAAATTCATTTAAAAGCTATATTAACAAAAATATAACGATGGAAATTTATGTCACGTGACGCCATGTCACGTCACGTTTCACACTTGGGGTTGTAAAAGAGAATTGAAACAATTTGCATTAATTCAAAAAACTCTAAAAACAACTAGAATTGTTCCAAATCATATTAAAATAAGTTTCATAAAAATAGCCATCCACAATTCGCAGAGTTTTGCGATTTTGTAAGAAAAGAAAAAATCAACTTCCATTTTTTGTCACGTAACGACCCTCTCTTTAAATGTTTATATTTCAGGACCAAGCAGTTCGATTGATTTCATTTTTCGGTTAAATATAGAGCTAATTAT